GAAGGAACTGAAAAGGATTTCCCAGAACAGGGTTGGATGGAGAATCTTGGTGAGCGACCTATGCTCCTTCACGAGGATTAACAGGCGTAAGTAGTAAGTAGTAGAGTGTTCCAGTCAAAAATAGTGCTAAATTATATTGATTATCATTACTCAATTACTATTCATTTTGAAATTACAACTTGAAATACAAATCATAACACAATATAGATGACTAGTGAGGTTCAAGTTAACTTACAACAATTTATATGTTTTCTACATATAATTATATGGTGTATGCTACTTATGTTGACAGGTATAAGTAGTATGTAACATCAATCAGAAGTGGAATGGATACAAGGAAAATGAGATCTAACTGTATGTATTCAGTATATATCTATACATATGTTATATGTAAATTACGGCACCAAATAGAAAATTTATGATTTATCATATATCTTAAACCTCTGATAACAATATAACCATTGTTATGCTGATTTAGATTTGGTCGTCTCTAATGAATGTTATCTACGCATATACAAAAAAAGTATTACATAATAGATTATTATATATTAGATATCCCATAGGATATAAATATATAAACTTGGTTAATAAATAAATAGAATATCTATTTATCCATCAGAAGTATCCTAAGAACCAAAACGAAAAAAAAACCCCAGCGGAAAACAGGTGTTTTCGTAGTGATTATACAACTGAGAAAACATGTTAGCCATGTATTATATATATGTAATGTAGAGAAGGGAATAGAGCGCTGACACGAAAGAGAGAGAGATGTGGGCGGACGATAAGAATTAAAGATGAGATTGCTTCAAGCGAAATTATTAAAATTCAGTAAAATAATCAAAACTCGAGTTGTTATTGTTGTTGTTGCTGTTGCAGAGTCATATTTATTCGTTAGTTTTAGTGTGACAGGTTTTTAAAGATTTTGAACTTATGTGGTGTTGACTAGATTGTCACTTACAAAAAAGCGATATCGATACTACAGTTTGTCAATGGATAATAGTCACCATGTAGAATTCTGAATTTAAAGATATTTATAAAATATCACTGACATGGACTGAACTGGTCATCGTTTCTCACTAGAACTTCAGGTGTTACGATTTATACCGACGAACGAAAATACAATTTCATGTAGAATAACCAATACACATTTGTGAAACCATTCAAATGGCTGAAGAACTTCAGTTTAAATACCTAATTACTGCATCCAATCAATAGTAAGTGGGATGAAAAAGAAGCCGATATCAGTATCACAGATGTATTCATTCCATATCCTCCCTTAAATTTTTAGTCTCAAAAATAAGTCATACATTTTATTTTTTAAACTTCTGTCTCATTTGTGAACCATGCTTTCCATATTTGGATTGTTTGTACTACTATAGACATTAAAATCACTTCGATCTTTTTGCTATACGTCTAGATAGGTGCTTCTCACACAGTGATGATGTAGCCCGGTAGCATGGGTTTTCGAGTTGACAATGTGTTGGTTAGCTGACTTACTCAATGTAGAGAATCATATAACTACCCAGTTTCTTTCTAATCAAACGATTTAATAATTTTAGACTATGATTAGTAATGGAATCCAGTAAGAGTGTTTCGTCGTATTCGCCACTCGTCATTTGGATATTTCTGAGTCAACAGTGTTGATGTAAAGGCTGAGATTCAATCACAGTACCTCCTACACTGAACATCCAAGTGTTGTCCAAAAAGCTGCAAAGTACAAACAGCTACTACTATATTCAACGGTTATAAAATTATTTGTAGGGATTTCTATTTTCTTGCTGTTGATGTTAAGCATCACAATCAACCAGTCTTTATTGGTTAATGTACATCTTGAACAAGTCGTCTCAATACTGTTATTTAAACACAAGTTTTAGTAAACCTTCACAAATAAATAAAATCGATCAATGTCAACAACAATGAATTACTTTATAATTTAAAGCTAAGTTGAATGTTCAATCTATAAGAGCTAAGAAGACGATTCATAAATGTTTCACTTTTAATTAGTTAGAAAACACTAACAAAACTGTATATTCTTTGATCTTCTATTAGTAAATTTTAAAGTCATCTTTCAGTCAGTCAGTCAGTTACAACGTAGGACTAGGCACATATATGCATCGGTCCAAGTTCCCATACCTCATTAACAAAACAAGATGAAAACCGGATTCATAAAAGTAGTTAATTCAGTGGTGGTAATATATAAAAGAAAGATTGCAATAAGGACATAGTACAGGAAGAAAGAATTAGTTCGTAGTAAGAAAGATATGAAGCAATCTTAATCTCATAGTTTAAGGGAAGACAAAGAATGTATACATCGACATCATTGTAATCGATTCTGAAACATCTCACCCACAGTCTTCCACTATTGGTTACGATAGTCACGCGAACACCAACCAAGTAGTCTGCAACTACCAACGTGGCTCAGACTGGAAGTTAGTGAGTTCAAGCACTGATGCCACGTTTTAGTTTGGTCTCGCCTAACTTTCTTCCAACCATCCCCAACACGAGTTAGCATTGTTAAGAAAGTCATCTTTACAATTTAATATTTTAAAAAGACATCACCACCATTGTCTACTTCCACGAGCTCAGTTTATTCTAAGATTTAAAAGCATATCGAAAATGAATATATATATATATCGTTCATTATCCTTTAAATTCCTAAAACATTAAACCTTTTTCATTAAGTACACTATAAGCATACAAACTACTCGATAAGCTTATAGTTCAATGATGAATATAAATAACTAAACAACAACAAACTTTATCACCCAAATACATGAATCTCATCGATATAATGACAAGGGAATATTTAAGTTATTAATCATTTTGTTTGAAAATATCTGACCTTTTTATTTACAATAATCAAGGTAAATATTAGTAGTCATGTTTATTTTGACAGTCATTTTTGTGGACATGATATTAATTTAAAAGTAACCGGGAAAAAAGGTTAGCAAACGAGTGATAGATAGAGAGATAGAGGGAGAATGGCTAAGCAAAGAAATGAATTTTGTTCTATGATTTCATTATTCAAAAACTATACGATCGTATATACATATAGAACAAATAAACAAAAGTATAGAAAGTTTGGTTCTTATTATGTGATTGAAAACCGAATTATTCAGAAGTTAGACAAGTAAGTTCTCAGGGATACCAATTGAATTCAGTTAAAGATTTATAATGATGATAATAAGTTATTCAGGAAAATAATAATAAATTTGATTAGACATGACTAACAAATAAAATTAAATCACTTTAGGATGTACGAGGTTAACAAACTGGGAGAAAGACAAAACGATGGTAAATTGCAGAATAAGAGGGTATAATCATGGCACGGTAATGCCATGTTACGGCCAAGAGTGGTGAGAGTCATTTTTCCTTCTCGAAAAGCTCTCACATGGCCACGTGCATATAACCACTACTAGGGAAGTCCTCCTAAATGACCGGGGTTTTGGTTACGAAATTGAGAGGACGAAAAGCAAATGTCCGATGTTTTAACCGGGTTGGTGGATATGGAGGATTTACCAAGGGGAGTTGGAAAACCCTGATTTTAAACCGATGGTTCACATGGGCTCCAGGATCCTAAGGGAACAAATGCCACATGAACCAACTGTTGATCACCGGCTACCATGGAACTGCATCTACTGACATTGCTCCACTGTCTTGTGGATTAGACTTTTAGGTCAAATGCTCCAGATGTGGCCGCCTAAGAAAGCCACCTGCTTCGGTTTGGGCATCCAGGTAGTATCCCAGTCCGCACACAAATCGAATGATTTATGCGGCTATTTAACTATGTGGTTATCTATTTGATGCCTTCTTGTACTAATATTTATGTGTTTAAATGAACAAAAAACATTTAATGTACATACATATTTGAAAATTTCACGTTTTCTGTACGAAAAAGTTCTTTAGTACTAAGAGAAAATCTGTGTCGCATTTTGTAAATCTCTATTAAACTTGTAAATGAAATTGAATAAGTTCATTTTAATCGAATGACCAAGGTTTCCCTACTGTTTATTGAGTTTTTTATACAATTAATCCCACTTCTTTTTTATTATAAAAGATAGCGTTTACGAATTCTCCATCAATTAATTACTCCTGTTACACCTCGTGGAGCATTGGTCGCCGATTAAGAATCTCCAATCAACTCTGTTCTGAACCCTCTATTCCAGTTGTTTCCGATTACCATTCATTCCTTTGATGTCTGCTTCAACTCCCCTGAGCAATATGTTCTTTTTTCTTTCTCTTTCTCTTTTGTCTTAAGGATTCCAAGTTAGTTAAAATAAATCCATGATACAATGTACATCGATTATCATTGTAAAACGAATTTTGCATATACATGAATTAAGGTTTTAAAAATCAAATCATAAAACAAAAGATATCTCTCCACTTATTCATTAACATTATTTCCAGATCAACACTAAGTTATATGTATCATGTCTATCTCCATTTCTCAACGTAATGTGTTCGTTGGTCTTCCCCTTTTCAGTTGGCCTTCAGGATTCCATGTGAGGGCTTGTCTTGTGACGCAGTTGAGTTCTCTCCTCAATGTGTGTCCTATCCACTTCCAGCGCTTCTTCCTAATTTCTTCCTCCACTGGGATCTGGTTTGTTCTTTCCCACAGTACGTTGTTGCTAATAGTGTCCGGACAACGGATCCGAAGTATTTTGCGTCGACAACTGTTAATAAACACCCGTATCTTTTGGATGATGGCTTTCTTAGTTCTCCAGGTTTCCGCCCCATGCACTAGAACTGTCTCGACATTCGTATTGAAAATCCTCACTTTGGTGTTGCTTGACAGTTGCTTTGAGTTCCAGATGTTCTTCAGTTGTAAATATACCGCTCTTGCTCTACCGATCCGCCTTGAGTCTCTCCGGGGCTACTGCAGGTCCCAAGCCCGGGTGAAGGAGGGTTGGGCATGGGGTTAGCGACCCCATCCCGTAGAAAACTAACTCGTTAAAAAAACGCTAACCAGAAAAAAAATTATTATATATCACAATGATTACCATTGATTCCTTCATTTTTAAATGCATTTAAAGCTTCATTATACTCCATTTTTGCCAATTCTGAATTCATGGAATATTGACTAGCTCGTATTACATTAGATCTGTCAGCGTATAAAGCGGATAATCCAGGTAGTCGATATATAGCATCAATCATTTTCACTGAAACACCAATAGCTATTTAAATTAAATAAAGTTAGCAACAAAAAAAACAAAAAAATATTTTTTGAATAAATGGTTATAGAAGAATAATGCAACACGTTTCCAAAGTAAAACACTTCAGCAAATGTAAACACTTTTCTTATTCTAATATATCACTATTAGTATAGGATTGAATTATCGTGCTGTTAATAATCAGGAAAGGATTTCGATCAGTATTTCATGGCATATTAAGATTTAGTCTTGAATATTAATAATGAGATAATAAAAATATAACCCTTAGATCCACGGAATAAGTTAATGGGTATTTGAACTCCATAGCTTAGAGGAATATGTGTTGGTGTTCGAAGTAAAAGATATTGGATTCAAGCTCTAATGAGAATATCAACACTAAGATGCAGGTAAATTCAACTGACTGGCTCTAAATTGAATGAAAATCACTTCCTAGGTACCGCTGTTATATACAATTCATTTGTAAGTTATATTCGACACGAATCGATATCACTTGAGATACTTTTAAAACCATAGAATGCATAACTACAATGAATATGCTTCGAATTTCAATTGAGTACAACCATATTGGAATAGTCGAATAATTAGTATTGTTAATCTTTATTGAAAAAAAGTAACTAATTGTTCAATATATATATAACTAATTAACGAAATCGAGCCACCGTCCACGATTGTATTCGATGAGTTACTATCTCACAACAGACCCGGTTGAACTCCACTGGTCACTACTTCTCACTAGAACTCCAGGAAAAAATACCTCTTGAAGCCAATTGCTAGTGAACATATGATGATTATAATCAGAGAGAGGTTTTGCCGATATTATAGTAATTTATTAATTGAATTCATGAGTCAATTGAAGCTAGACCACGGCCATCCAGTGCTTCCACGTTTTCCATGATGGTCCAGCTTCAATTGGCTCATGAATTCAACTATCGAAATTACTATAATATCCGCAAAACACCTCTCCCAATCTCATTATGTTTGGAAGCTTTCATTTGTTCGTTCTTTTATAAAATATATAATTTCATATAATGAAGTGTAAACTGGTCAAAAATTAGGAACATAGTTTTCAGTCATTCATTAACTAATGTTAGTTTATAATAGAAACTGTTTTCAAAATGATCAAGTCATTACAATCATCTATTTAACTTACAAAATGTAATATCTTTTTATAACTTTAATCAAAATTATGATTACGTCAATAGTTTATTTCATCGATTTCTTAACCCTATTGATACCAATCAAAGGATCTCATGTTTAGATTAGGTGGTGGTTGGAGGTAGTTGACAGGAAACCGTGGATGCGGGTTTCGTGCTACTTGGTACTCGTCAGCAAGGTGTACCTGTAATCTTGAGGGAACTGGTGCTCTCCGACGGATTTAATCCCGTGTCATTAAGCTTCACAGTCAGAAACGTTACCACTGAGCTATCTGGGTCGCGGCCGACCACCTGTGGGACTGAAATGTAATCACAATTGATTGATCACTGGGTGGTGATCAATGTCATGTGTGTCAAGCCCTTATTAGTACAGATCGAATGCTATCGACCAAGTTGCAATGTCTTAAGTAAAATTGAATTATTAAGATTTAGATTAATATCTTCAATCAAAATGGATAATCACTGATCACTGATGTCATAAATTACCTGATGATAAAAAAATGTTTATCATTAAGATTACAACTTTATGATTCTCAATATGATTAGATGACACTATCAGTGATTAAACAGCTGGATATTTTAGAACTATTTATGACAGTGATTTATCGAAATAGAATCATATGAATATTGCATAATGAACATCTACTGCATATCATTTATGAATAGTTCTCTTGTTGATTATAACATATTACAATAGTAGAAATCATGGGTCAATTGAAGCTAGACCATCATGGAAAACCTGGAAGCACTAGACGGCCGTTTCATCCGATTATGGGACTCCGTCTAATAATAATCATCTGCTCACTAATGACTGACTTCAAGAGGCATTTCCTGGAGTTCTAGTGAGAAGCCGTTACCAGTGGAGTTCAACCAGGTCTCTTGTGAGATATCAACTCACTGAAGACAATGGTGGACGGTGGCACAACATCGTGGATTGGTTGAAGTTAGACATTAACACCGTTGGATGCCGGCCGGCTCAGTGGTCTAATGGTTAAGCGCTCGCGCGCGAGACTGACAGGTCCTGGGTTCGAATGTCGCGGGAGGCAGACTCGTGGATGCGTACTGATGAGAAGTCCCATACTAGGACGAAACGATCGTCCAGTGCTTCCAGATTTCCCATGGTGGTCTAGCTTCAAATGACTCATGATCTCAACCATTGAAATCAATTATTGTCAATTATTACGTAAGAGAATGATAAGAAAAGTGAATGGCGAATAGAATAGATTAGATTGTGAACATAAAAAATTTATAATAATAATAATAATAATAATAACGTTTATTACTATAATTGATTCTATACAAGTGGATAACTAACTATATACATAGATCTTCATAAGTAATTCAAGTGTAAAATAGTAATAACAGTAAATAATTAACTCATTTTAAGCAAACATAATAGAAATATTCTTAATAACGAAGTAATGAAATTGAATAACAAAAGTAATTACAAATAACTAGATAACTAACAACAAAAAGAAGGAAAGTAATAATAATTCACATATTGAATAATAATAATAATACTGTTGTGTCAAAGAAACTATTTATCAGATTTATATACATAAATGAAATGATTGACAATTAAATTTCCATATTCTAAACAATTACTAATAGAAGTGAATCTATTTTACCGAAGAAGGTGATGAAGGAGAAGAAGGTGGTGGTCGAGGAGGAGGAGGTGGAGGAGAAGTATTTCATTTAGGATGTATGTATGAATGTACAGTTTAAGTAAATGATTTCGTTGAAAAGAAAAACATTTTCTTCGCTGAATTCTCTTATTCTTATTCAATAACACTATGGATCATTTATGATCAGTTTATTAACTGTTTTAAATGCTTGTTTTAAAGGTGTTCTTTTCATTTCAACAACAAAACGAATATGAAAATCTATCTTGAAAAAAATTATTTTAATAGTTTAAAAATTCCCATTATATTAAAAGATTAATATATTACAACAGTTGACATCATGAGTCAGTTGAAGCTAGACCACCATGGAAAACCTAGAAGTACTGGATGGCCGTTTCATCCTATTGTATAATATATTGAACAATGAATATACTTTCCAACAAATTCTCTTCAGATTCCTATAATTCAATATATTCAAATTAATCATCTGAAAGATGATCAGGTTAAAGATAAAGTACATCGTTTAAAGCATGTGAATTTAGGATTATTAAACAAACTTGAATAAAATTATTAATGTTGATATGATTCACATGGAATGTTCACTTGAATCAGCTTATATGTTAAATGAAAATGTCAAGATCCATGATCAGAATAAATATGGATCGTATATACAACCTTAAAATCAAATTATGGATCTGTAGAATGATTACAGTCGATTAGGTGTTCAAGTATAGAACTCCTAACTGTTATCCTTTCATCCTTGTAGAACCATACTGGGACATGTTCCCGTATTCGAGTTCCAAGCGAGCACTGACAACGGCCAACGTACCTTGCTCCACAGGAGCAGGTGAACTGGTAAATCCACATGGAGGCGACCAGACCAGGATTGTTCATGTGGATATGACTCATATAGAATGTTAACTTGAATATGCATATATGTTAAGCGAAAATGTTAGAATCTATAATCAGAATAAATTTGGGTCAGATAGGGTGAGCAAACTAACAATGCAGTTACAAATTCGATCAAATTTATAGTGGAAGACTATATTGTGTAAAAAATTATTAGTAAGACATATCGATTAGATAAAACAAGGAAGAAAGGCCCAGGATAGAGTGAATTGGAGAATGCTGGTCGGTAACCTATGCTCCATTGAGAGTAACAGGAGTAAGTAAATAAGTAAGTAAGATGTATTAAGGTGGGATGAATGCATAGTGAATGAATCATGTATTGAGAAGATTAATAATGATCTTTAATCAACAGTAATAATAGTAAAAATACAAAGATTTGTGAATAAAGATAACAGAAACATGTACATTTGAGTACGAAAGGTCGTAAGTACAATAGTCAAATAAGGTTATTCAATAGCTAAGATTGCTATTAATTAATTGGCCTTGAGGTTGGCCAGAAGAGGAGGTGTGGTTGAAGATATATTTTTCTGTACATATAGCATATATATAGATTCAAGTTAACATTCTATATGAATCATATCAACATGAACAATCTTATTCTATTTTGTTTAACAATTCTAAATTCTCAGTTTAGAGGTTGTAGAGATTGTTAAGTTTTTTTCTCATTGAGATAATGAACCAATTGATTTTAGACCACCGTTGGAAACCTAGAGCATTGGAAGACCGTTTCGTCTTATTCTCGGACTCCTCAGCAGTGCGCATCCACATTCCCGCCCCCCGCGAGATTCAAACTCAGGGCCTTCAGTCTTGCGTGCGAACTCTTAACCTACTGGACCACTGAGCCGGCATCCAATGATGTTAATGTCTAACATCAACCAATCCACGAAGTTGCGCGACCATCTTCTATTGTACTGAGGTAGACACCTATTTCTACCCGACACGGATTAGCTCCACTGGTCACGGCTTCTCACCAGAACAGGTCATTATCAAAGAAAGAACAAGGTGCATGCTTCATCCAAAACCTAAAATACATGAAAACGATTGTGTCACATCCCACTGTGTTTACTAATTCTAAATTCACATGATTTAAACAATGTACTTTACCCTTAACATGATCATTTTTCAGATTATTAATTTAGATATATTTATTGTAAAAGCTGAATAGAATTTATCGAAAAAAATATTTTTCGTTCAAATATTAGTCTTTTAAAAATTTTTCAATAGTTGAGATCATTAGTTAATTAAGTTAAACCACCATGAGAAACCTGGAAACGCTCGCCCGCGAGACCAACAGGTCTTAGATTCGAATCTCTCGAGG